GAGGGTGTGGGCGGGTGTGCGGGAGGGAGGGTGTGAGCGTGCCTCCTCCGCCATGCGCACGAGGCGCTCTCCCCACATCTCCCCGCACCTCCCCATCTTTCCCCAGATCTCCCCCAGATCTCCCCATCTCTCCCTTCTCCGGCGCCTTGCGCTCGAGGTGCTCGCACAGCTTGCGCATCCCCGGGAAGACCTCGATGATGCGCGTGAGCACGTGCAGCGCGTTGCGCACCTGGCGACGAGTCGTGGATGAATCTCGGGGAGATATCGGGGAGATATCGGGGAGATATCGGGGAGATATGGGGGAGAGATGGGGGAGATATGGGGGAGATCCCACCTGACAACCGACTCATCGATGAAGGAGCCTCGTTCACAAGCCCATGCTGGCGCGTGCGCACCCCCATGTACGCCCTATATCTCCCCTGTATCTCCCCTGAATCTCCCCTGTCCCCTATATCTCCCATGCGCTGCGGCGCGCTGCGCACCTCCATGTACTCCCTGGAGTCGAGGCTAGGGGAGATATAGGGAGATATAGGGAGCTCGCACCTCCATGTACTCCTTGGAGTCGAGGCACGCCATCAGCGCCTTGAGGATATACAGCGAGATGTGGGGAGATATGGGGAGATATGGCGAGATATGGGGAGGTGTGCAGCGCCTTGAGGACCTTGCAGTACCACTTGAAGACCACCTGGTGAGTGCATTGGTCAATGGTTAGCAGCTAGAGTGAGGGCCTTGCAGGTGCCACGGCTGAAGACCGCCTTGACGAAGTCCTCGTAGGACGCCTTCTTGGCGTTGGCCTGCTGGTTGATGAAGGAGGTCGAGAAGCCGGGCAGCTTGGCGCACTCGTTGCGGTAGACCTCCTCGCCCGACTTCCAGTGGCCCAACAGCTTGAGTGACTCGTTGAGGAAGCGGCCCAGGTTCTGCGCCTGCGGGGGGGTGCCTCGGACGTGTCTCGGACGCGTCTGGAAAGTGCCTCGGACGTGGTGTCTCGGACGTGTCTGGGAGGTGTCTCGGAAGCGGCCCAGGTTCCGCGCCTGCCGCAAAGACGACATACGCCCAGATGTGTGGAGATGTGTGGAGATGTGTGGAGATGCGTGGAGATGCGTGGAGATGTGGGGGAGATGTATGGAGATGTGGGGGAGATGTGGGGGAGATGTGGGGAGGTGTGCCTGCCGCTCGGTGCACGCAAAGATGTGCACCGAATGTCGCGCAGCAGCTTGTCGTAGTACTGTGAGGAT